AATAAGGACTTGTTCTTCACTGGTGAGATTGAATGTCCTTTACTTTACAACTTTATGTTCGCAATATGTATTATCTGTCAGTTCTTCTGTATCGTGTTTGCCAGCCAGTTTATGAAGACGCAAACGGGGTGTGCAGAAAATGCTGTATGCAACTAACGTTAGCAGTCTAGCCGCTTCACCTGTAAAATATAAGCTTTGATGTGAAGTATTGAGGTAAAATTACTAGCGTGCAGCCTCTTAGGCAGTTAAAGCAAGGAAACTGGGGGGAAGCGGTGATGTTGCTCAAGTATTAAACGACCTGACGCTACTGTTTCGCGAAAGAATCGTTAATGTGAGTCGGTTCTCAATGAAATGGTTGAACCAGTTCACGAGTTCGACTGAAATATCTCGGAGCGGTTGAGTAAACAAATCACTGGATCAACTGAGCACCGTCATCGCACAAGTCCGATTTGTAACCAGCCGAGAACTGTTTGGTGAGCTGATGCAACTAGAAATTACAAGAAAAGTAAGGAACATTCATAGCCAAGACAAGAGATGATTTCCTTGAACGTCAGTAAACCGCGCGATGACGTTTTACGTTCTGACGCAAAAGAATCACTGATTCACTTTTTCAAACCGTTTGAAAGAACCGATTGGCAGAAATGTATCGGTGCATTTTTTTTTAACAATGAACACAACCAAAGCTAACCATTAAGTACACCAATCGTGGCAAATGAAATCCAATACTAAGATAAACAGAAATATATTAATTAAAAGAACAAAGGAAAAGGAAAATATAAATTTTTATTTTTATTTATATGTATATTTATTTTAAACATTTATATTTCAGCATCTTGAGAAGCAAATAGCATATATGTTGTGGTTTGTAAATCAACTAATCAAAAGAGGCAGCTTGGTGGCCTTTATGTAAGGAACAGTAATTTTACAGTTTTGTCATTTCTGGTTAATTTGAAATTATAAAGGTAGTGACCTAATTCCATTTTAAAAATGAGTAGAAGTTTTTGCATTTGTGGATAAACAAAATAGTAAATATAAGTAAATGTATAATATACTATATTTAAAATTCACCATAATTATTATAGGAAAACATTACAGTGTTTGTATTCTTTTTAACGAAAAATGCAAAATCACAGCAATATCATAATTTGTTTAAAGCATTAAGTAAATGTACCCTCTAATTTGTGATGACGTCAAGCAGATTTGGCATGTGCCAGAATGTGCGGGAGAACGGCTTGCACCCTTGCGGCGAATGAGCTCAGTCGTGGGGCTAACTATCGAGACCGGACGGGACAACGACACCGGCCCCGATGGAAGGATGGAGACACTGACAAATACTGGCCCTCATACAACAAGAGTCCTCAGTCCTTCAGCCCTGTACTGCTGTCCAACAGACACTTCAACAAGGCATGTCAAAACATATATGCACAACATTTGTCCCTGAAGAACAGCTGTTTAATGAAGCACTTTCCATAGGATGCCCCTGTAGATGAGTGTGTGTTGGCAGCGATGCGCTGGGGTCTCGTCCCGGCGTGGTTCAAAGAGAATGACCCCAGTAAGATGCAGTACAACACCTCTAACTGTCGCAGTGAGAGCCTGCTAGAAAAGAAGTCTTACAAGGTAGGTACATAAGACACCCCCAATCATTTTACATGAGCGGTGAAATCCCCGCACAATGCAAAATCTCATTGGTCTAAAATTCAGCTCCACATAATAGAGTGCAACAGTTGGATCCCCAAAAGTAAAAATCTCATTCATTTTTCTTCCATAGGGGATTTGGTTTTTAACAACAACCTATAAACCATTAAAGACAAACCTACTGTGAGCTACAAGGTTGTTAATCGATGGTATATGCTTTCGTTGACGCTGTCAGCCCCCAATATTTCAACTTTTTTTTTTTTAAATAATGATGTTTAACTGTAGAATTACTGGTGAAAAACTAAATTACCCATGAGTCGGCAGAGAAATCTCAACCAATCAGAAAATTGCGACAAATCACAACAAAAAAAGAACTATTTAATGATGTATTCAAATCATTCTTCCTACACTCTCAAACTACTTTAATATTTGTATCTAGCAATAAATAAAATGTTATTTTTTCCCCAAACCATTTAAGCGCAAACCCCACCCCGCCACATATTCTAAAGATTTTATTGTTTATGAAATTGAGTGATTGAGTTGACCAATGAAATTGGTTGCGGTGCAGGGTTTCATTCAATTCAGGCCACCAGCCTGCATTATTTCAACTTATATTTTTAAATAATCATGTTTAATAGCAGAATTACTGCTGAAAAACTAATCTCCACCAGCCAGAGAATCGTGACAAGCGAATTGCACCAAAAAAATAAAACATAATAAAAATCAACAGCTGCTCACTCCTATGAAGCACTACGGATGACGTAGAGTCAGTTTCCTAATGTTCCCTAACTACTTAAATATTTGTATTATGCATATATTTATTCATATATTTGTATCCCTATGGGAAAATGAATTGGAAAAATACTGTGACACATGACTGTGTCATGTATTAAACATCAAATATTTTCTAATATTCTGTGGGCAGACATATGATTTGTTGCTGGAAACTTCTTCTTCAGGATCCTTTTCTGAAAGGACAGCGCTGCGTCATTCTAGCTGATGGCTTCTATGAATGGAGGCGAACAGAGAAAGAGAAACAGCCTTTCTTCATTTACTTCCCTCAGACCCAAGGAGGGCAAGTGCCCAGTCAACAAAATACACTGAAAATGAAAAGTGACCAAAGTTTGGACCAAGCAGAGGTTAGCCCAAGTCTGACAGTTGCAAGAAGTAAATTTGTTAACTTAAGCGGGTCTTACTCATCTGTTTATTCCTCCACTTGTCTACAGAGTGATCAGGATGACAGTGACTGGACAGGGTGGCGTCTGCTGACAATAGCAGGGCTCTTTGACTCCTGGACTCCTCCTTGTGGTGGAGAGACGCTGTACACTTACACTGTTATTACTGTAGACGCCTCTCCAAATCTTCAAAGCATCCATGACAGGTTGATCACATAAAAATTATGAATCATGGGGTTTTTATTGTGATGTTTTAAGTGTCATACACTTTATTGTAATGAGTCAAATGAACCTTGAGTTAATGTGTAACAGGATGCCAGCTGTGCTGGACGGTGAGGATGAGGTAAGACGGTGGTTGGACTTTGGAGAAGTAAAGTCACTGGAAGCCATGAAATCACTGCATCCAAATTCCTCCTTGACCTTTCACCCAGTCTCCTCATTGGTCAACAATTCCCGCAACAACTCCCCAGAGTGTCTGCAGCCTGTAGAGCCCTCAGTTAAGAAGGTGAAACTTTTGGTCATTTTGAGAAAAGAAATGCACTTAAAACTATTTTTACACTAGTTTATTCATTTGTCCTCTAACAATGTCCAACAGTGTATATGCAGTACATACATCAGTGGAGAATTCTGGCACTTCTGTAATCATTTCCACATACTGAATTGGTTTGTTTATTTAACTGCTTATTTAGACATTTTTATATACTGTACATATACTACAGTTTAAAGGTTTGGGGTTGGCAAGATTTTTTAAATATTTTAATGGCTCTTATACTTACCAAGGTTGCATTTAGTTGATCAAAAATACAGTAAAAAACATGAATTTTGAGAAACACTATTACAACTTCAAATGACTTTTTCTATTTGAATATATTTTAAAATGCAATTTATTTTCATAGTTGAAGATTTATAGTCTGGGTCTGGGACAAGAGCAAACAAAATGTATACATTACAAACATTTGAAAAGTGGAAAAAAGAAAAATCATAAACCATTAATCATAATCATTCAAATACTGACCTTCCACCTTCTGTCCTGTCCAGACCGTTCAGCCTACAGCCAGCAGTAAAGTGATGATGAGCTGGCTGAAAACTGCCTCGCCCACTAAGAGGAAGAATCCTGATGAAGATACTTCAGCTAAAGCACCTGAAGAAAAGCTTGCAGCAGAGAAGCAAACCAAGCCGACTGGGCCTCTCCAGCAGTGGCTGCTGGGAACGGGTTCCAGGAAGAAACCAAGGACTTGAAATGACCAAAGCTGACTAGTTTAAAGATTCAGAATGCTCCCTCACATGCCTAAAAATGTTTGTTGAAATGGCAGTTCACCCAAAATTGAAAAATAGCTGAAAACCTACTCACCTCAGGCCATCCAATAGGAAGATGATGTTTCTTCATCAAAACAGATTTGTAGAAATTTAGCATAACATCACTTGCTCACCAGTGGATCCTCAGTGAATGGGTGCCGTCAGAATGAGAGTCCAAACAGCTGATAAAAACATCAAATAATCTAAACGACTCAATTAAGTCAATCAGTTAACATCTTGTGAAGTGAAAACTTGAGTGTTTATAAGAAACAAATCCATTAAGGCATTTGAACTTTAAACTGTCGCTTCCGGCCAGTCCATATTCCATAATAATTCTTCCTCCAGTTAAAAATCCCCATTTATTCTCTCATTTCAAAATCCTTCCAACATAATTCTTTATAACTGTGTTGGACTGTTTTGGCTTGTGAAAGGTGCTTACTTTGTGAAAGGATTACTTCTTGTCACTTGTGAAAGGATTACTGGTGGATTATTGGGATGTTTTTAGCAGCTGTTTGGACTCTCATTCTGACGGCACCCATTCACTGCAGAAGATCCATTGGTGAGCAAGTGATTTAATGCTAAATTTCTCCAGATCTCTTCTTTCGATGAAGAACAAAGTCATCTGCATCTTGGATGGCCTGAGGGTGAGTACAGTTTCAGCAAACTTACATTTCTGGGTGAATTTCTTTAAGACAGTTAAGCGCTCATTTGCCAAGTATTCAGTGTGTAGTAGTGTGCATTTGACATTGTTCCTTCTTCATAATTAGATGATGAAAATAAACATTCATGTAATTTATAATAGTTGATTTGTGGACACATTTAATTCGTTCATTTCAAACAAGTCCCAGTTATCACTTCTCAATAAGTGTACAGCAAACACACAATGTACAGCAGTTTTATTCAACAACTTAATTTTATTTCCATTACTTTGAAATACATTTATCTTGAACAATGTATATGCTGTGCATTTTGTTTCATTAAATGCCATGAACAATTCAGTTTTCCCCCAATGTTGTCTAGTTGTGTTTATTTGTATATAATGCAACACAGATAATAATAAAATAATTACAATAATAATGAACATACAGACAGGAAAAGATCCGAGTGATACTGAGCGCTTAAATTCTCTACCATCCTGATCTACTGGTAGAGTCTGGGCAAGATATGAAAGAATAGAAAAAACAAAAACGACAAGAGATGGCCTACGCCACTACTTGTTCACGGCAGACTCGCGGTGATTTGGTCATGCTGACATGAGGATCGACGATAAAAAAATACACAGAAATACTAATTGTCATAATAGTATGAATTGTAGATCATTTAGATGTAATATCTAAATTTCCCCATCGCATGGTTTGCTATTCGTGTTTTTGTGTTCCATTTTGAGGACTGATTGGGCGTACACTGGATTAATTGACTGCAGTTCTCAGATGTAACAGCGGGGGCAGTGTTAGACCTCCAGTGCTTCGGGACTTCACAAACTGAGGAGCGTTTTTGGGTTCACGACTTTAAGATGCAAATGTAGCATGCTTTACGTCAGGCCGCCATTTTATTTCAAGCAGAATGATGAAGCAGTTGAACATGATGGGTAGTTCTGGTACCAACGTAGACCTCTGATACACCCCCCATCTTTCAGCGTTTCACGTCACATGTATTACAACTGCACTGCAGGACTGGATCATATTAAAAAAAATCCATTCAAGTGTTGTGAAGAGTTCCAGTAGGACTTTTTATGTGGGTGAGGCGACAGTTCTGCAGAACCGGTGCGAGGTGTTGAGATTTGTGTACGAAAACGGGTGTCAGATTGAGCCTCGAGCATATGTGGGTGTGTGTGTTGTGTCGTGACTAAGGCTGTGAATGTGAACTGTGTAGGATACTGAATGAGAGGAAGTCTGCTCATCTACAAAGGCCAGTGATTATAGAGTTAAGGGGAGGGAAGGAGATGAAGATCGGGTGAAAGAAAGAACGCATGAAAGAGAGGGAGTGAGGCAGAGACAAGGCCAGAGAGGCTGAGGGTGAAACGCTGCGCCCCCTGGAGGTCCTCAGCAACTACAAGTCTCTGCTGATGGCTTGGCTCTATCGTTCCGGTCTAGTTTAATTGGCTCGGGGAACTCGTTGTATAACTCCACTTCGGTTTCCTACAAAATAAAAAAGGGCCACAGTTAAGTGCAAAGTATACTTCTGTTTTGACGCAAACAGTGTATGCGTACAGCCAAACACACCTTTCAAAGTATACTCATTTGATAGTGTACGCAAACACGTAAACTAGAAAGTTGCATCCTTGCCTCTGATTCTTTCTCAGAATAAACTCAATTGTGAGTTATAAACTCCGAATTTCGAGATATATAAACATAGAACTGTAAGATATATATAACTCAGAGGAAAAAGTCAGAATTGCAAGATATATACTAGGGCTGCACGATAAATCGCATGCGATATTTAATGCGCATCTTGTCAGAAAGCCGGTTCTGTAATCAGCGGTAAATCTCCATCACCTGCGTGCTTTCACATTGAGCAGCATTAACTACACAGAGCCGTTGTTCACTGATGA